CGACACTGTCACATGATGATAACAACAATTTTTAAAAAAAAAACGTGCGCCAAAAAAAATAACAACAGGGAATTAACGAGTCGACAAATCGCCTCACAAGGCGGCAACATTTTAACCGTGGTTCACACGCCTCGGATTATAAACAATCGATAACACGACCGAATTCTTGGACGCTTCAAACGAGCCGTTTAACGCACTAACTTACCAGTAACTTAGCCGATGTATAAGATGATTTATGTGGAGCCAACATCGATTTGACAACTTGACCCTTCACGGCACTCGCCGACGCTTCTTAACACCGACGCCTTTTGAGTTGCCGGCGAATTGAATGAATGAACGAACGAACGAACGACCGACCGACCGACCAAATACACACGAACGAATGACCCCAGAGTTTTTTTTTACGGTAAAAAAAACCCGGGCGAGGCGAACCCAAGTCGAAAAGCTCGTTATGAATCAGCGTTGAGTGTCGACGCGACGTGGATTTAACTCACCTCCACGGCACCGAAGGGGAACAGCCCCGCCGCGTCCCGCCACTGCGAGCCACAACGCGCGCCACCTCCTCCACAAAGCGACGACGGACGACAACCCGACCAGCGCAGGCGAGGGTTTTGACGGGGGATTAACGAAATAATAAATATAAGCCCAACCCAACGACGACTGCTGTGAAAGCGCGCGCGCGCTCCCGCGAGCAACGGAGGCGGCTGGGGGAGCTGCACGCGTGCCGACAGAGCCGAACGAGCGGCTTGAAATGGCCGCCGTTGGCAGGCGAAGGACCCCGCGGACCACCCCCCCGCCCCCCCTGCCCCGCAGCCTCGGGGGTGGCCTCGGCGCCGCTGCCGCCGCCGCCGCTGCGTTTCGCGGGCCCGGCGCCCGCGAAACCCCCCCCACACACCCCACACACACACACCCCACACACACACACCCCACACACCCCACACCCCACACACCCCACACCCCACACACCCCACACCCCACACACCCCACACCCCACACCCCACACACCCCACACCCCACACACCCCACACCCCACACACACACCCCACCCACCCCCACACCCCACACCCACACCCCACACACACACACCCCACACACGCACACCCCACACACGCACACCCCCCACACCCCACACCCCACACAATCCCCCCAACACCCCCCCCACACACACCCCACACAACCCACACACACCCCACAACCCCCCCACAACCCCCCCCCACACCCCCCCCCACACCCCCCCCCACACCCCCCCCCCCCACACACCCCCCCCACACACCCCCCCCAACAACCCCCCCAACAACCCCCCCAACACCCCCCCACACACCCCCCCACACCCCCCCACACACCCCCCCACAGCCCCCCCCCACAACCCCCCCACCCCCCCCGCGTGGTGGATCCCAGCCCCGCCCTCGCCCACAACGAAACTTGCAAAGCAAATAGCAACACGCGCGCTAGCGCAAATAACAAAAAAAAACCCATATATACACTCGGTGTTTATCCTTAATAGAGGTTCTGGGGGGGGGGGGTTAGATCGCGTAAGTATGTAAATGTGTCGGTGTTTAAATAGCGAAATGCTATAATTCACATTTGTGTTGTGTGTGGGTTTTTTGTGTGTTCAGCTTTATACCAAAATGTTTGTAATTTGGTCATTATTTTGGTTGATGCTGCAAGTGGTGTTATGTACTTAGGCCCCCCCCGCCCCATACATAGCCAACGTTGAGCCACTGTAGGTTGGCTGTGCATGTGAATGGTTGAACCCGTTGGCATTTCTTAACCCCCCACTTAACAGTGCCCTACAATATTGCAGACCAATCCAGATCGTATTGGCCATCCCGTGCCCTTATAAATCTCAACGTTCATCCCACAAAGTCCCATCACAAATGAGTAACACAAATGGACAAAACAATTGCCCGTATTTAAAACCTGAAAAACTCAATTTCCCTGCACAAGAATTCGGCTAAACCGTATGGGTTGACACGGTATGCCTTTGGCCCAATGTTGGGCCCAGCTGTGGGTGCAGGGTTTGGTGGTACATGTTGTTTATGTCGTTTATTGTGAAAATTCGGTCACAGTCCCTATGATCACTGTTACATTGCTTTTATGGCTTTATTTTGGTGATTTCGAAAAGTTTTTTGGTTTGAGCCATGTTTGTTTGTTGTAGTACGGAGTTAGACTGATGGCCTTAATCTAAGTTGTCTTGTGGTTGTTGTTGTTTGACTTGCATCCCACTGGGATTTTTGCACACAGCGTTGGTGTACGGTGCTTTTTCTGGAATATTTTGCTGTCTTTTTTTTATTTTCTGTTTGCACAGTCACATAGTCACTTTTAAGATGTTTTCTTGTTCATGTTTTTGTTTGTTGCCGTTGCAACCGATTCAAGAGCCGAATGGCTCACAGGGCTATACAGGACCAAATACATGAAAACTGAAAAACTGCAAGCACAATTATTGTAACAAAAAAACCTCAATGTATGTTGAACTTATTTCGCACCTTACCTAGCCAACCGTGCTAATCGGCGACGTTTCAGGCAATGGTCCTTCATATCACATTGTCGATTCGCTACCTGACGAAGGTAAGCTGCTGAGCAGAATTCGATCAATACTTTGTCATGTATAAATTATATCGTAAATATTCGGCAAATACTGCCTTAACAAAATACTTTTTAAGGCGACTGTTATTGACGAAGTGACTTTTTGGTTATATGTGCACCACTTCCAACTCCGTATCACCACGTGCTATAATTAGTATAGTATTGTATAATACCCGTTAAACTTTTGCGAATCGATTAATATCGTGATTCAACTCAAGGATCTATGTTTTTTTAGTTTTTTTATTGTGGCTAAATGTGGTGGCCACTAGTGGTTGCAGGGGTCATTTTAAATCAAAAGTTGAGGCGTATCATCGTACAATCCGCAGAACACGATACAATTAGAGACACTATCGTTGGATTCTAATCCACACCCCAATTCTCTTACTTCCAAAAACAATCACCTCTGGAGATTCAAATGACATTCACTGGTGGCCGCTACAATTTTTTGTACAAGAGAATGACCTAGCAGCGTCAGTAAACGCATCCCGTCATCCGTTTATCCACGGACAAGTTATCCCAAGTGATCTCCGGGAAAGACGTAATTTTTCCAATTTATCCTCATCAAAAAAAATGTCAAGCTATTATTTTGACGCTCCCTCCGTTTCAAGTGAATGCCGCACACCAACTCTGCATATAACCCAGGCACATTAATTCATAGGTCGTCATGTTTTTTTCTAAAACTCTCGTCAGTGAAGTACACTAAATTCACCAGCGGTGGAACGACGCCAAAGGTCAACACAGTAAGCTGACAAAGCAAAGCTGGTGGTTACTGGTACTGCGTGCATAATTGCACATTCAAGTTTTATTTTTATACAATTTATAAACAAGCAACGTATATAGTTTATATACCACCTAAATTGTAACACATTCCTAATTTAGTTCATGTCAAAAATAAACCGAAATACAAGATATGCTTTTTTTTCCTTAGGAGAAAACTGGTACTTACTGCTCAAGTGGAGCAGTGCAAGTCTGACATTTTAAAGGTTAAATCACAACTCGAGTCCATTCCTCAACCCTAGTTGAGCTCAAAACGTATAGGCGACTGCAAACATTCCAAACACCCCCCCCCCCCTCCGGAAACCTAAACTTCATTTCGGCTTTCCTGGATAAAGAACCACAAGCGAAAACAGGTCCCTGCAGGGTGGGCTGGTAGGGCACGTCTCTGCGCTGTCTATTGCTGATTTTACACCCAACAGCACTAGATTTCACTTCGTTAAAGTATTGAAAGGGGGCGGACGGACGGACGGACACATTAATCTATTGCAGGCTAGTACACTCAGTTTACAACTTCGTTCCTACCAGTATAACCGCTTCCCTCCCCATGCACAGCACCACTCCATACCTGTCCGCGCATTCATCGCTTTCGTCACCTGGGAGACGCGTCCCCGCTTATGGATTTGGACAAGATGCCACTTGCAAACCTCGTGTTGACCGAAGAGATGCAGCTCTGAAGAGCCTCGTACGAATTTACATCATGCATTTGATAACTCCCCGTTCTAAATTATCATTAAAATATGAACGTGTTTGGTATTTAAATGTGCTTAGCAAGTCCCGATCGAACTATTTTTTTTAATGTAAGGTAATGTATTATGGTGTGCATTTTTTTCCCCCGAGTGGACAAACACAATTTGGGCCGAATTTTAACGGAGCACAGCTGAAAAAAACATCATACACCGAAACACACTTCGCACATTGTAAAATGTAACACTATTTACCATTACACATTGAATTTACATTCTGGACATCTAATTTTACATAAACCGTTTACCAACTGCACAAAATGGTTTCTGAACTTACCCAAGCATTCTGCTCAATAACACAAAATACCCCAGCGATTTCATTTATAAAGCCAGATTGTTTTTGATAGAACAGTGCTCCTTTTGCTTTCAGCCATCCCTTCATAATGACTACACTCACTCCTTGGATCACATGCAAGATCATCTGACGTGCAGATAAAACTCAGAGTTACAATTTGTTGATGTAAAAGACACTTTTGAGTACCATTACATTTTATAGGAAAATTTCACAATATACCGCACATCATTGTGAAAAGGACATTTTACTGAACGGTCCTTATAATTCTACCCATTCAATAACTGAAGTTTTGGACTTGTTTCCACCAGACTTGCATTAAATTAAAGGGATAAGTGCAATTCTTGAAACAATTCAGGGGTTGTGTGACCACGTTTCGCCATGCTCATGAGTGCAAGTTGGCAAGGGCGACAGGCCAGTTGAGTTTTCACTTGCAAACTGATGTTAGCCTTGGTTGGGAGTCAAACCTCAGGCTGAAATGTTCACATTGCGGGGCGCTTACTGCATCACCTTTTCACGCCAACATTAATTTATGGGAGACGAAGTACAAAAACAATAACATTGCAGAAATGAATATCAAAACAGACAATGATGTCGATGAATATAGGAATAATTGTAAATGTTTATTCATAAAGAATTTCATAAATTGTAAAGAAATTTAGCCTGCCAACCCTTGTCCATCAATGCAAACTTTATATAAACCACATACAGCTTTCACGTTTCACACTTCACCCAACAAAATGCAACATAAAATGAAGGTACATAAAGCTGCAGTGCACATATTGCATTTCAACATTAAAACAGCGCATTGCAAATGCCACAATTAACAATCCAACATTAAATTATCACACTAGGAAACACCAAAACATGCAAACTTGTACTGTAATAAGGAGTTCATCTGCATATTTATGTTAGATCATTACAGCGTATACCTGTAACAACTAATAAAACAACAGTCAATGAAAAAGTACATCATTTAATTAACCATTATCTACAATGCTTTTGGAACCAGATGTCAACTTATTTCTTCACTACAAAGTGAGAGTTTTGAAAGAGTTCGTCTTTAACACAATAGGTTAAATAAGCACAACATTTTCATGACGCCTGCTTGATTTATTGCCGTTGTAAAAAAAGACAGGATATCTCAAAGTTTCTGATCAAGTACATACCACATAAAACAGTAAATTCTCAAGTGTGTGGAAGTTGTGATGCCATGTCAATCAGGATTTTCACACAACACCCATGAGTCATGATATACTGTACACAAACCCTGTCTTGGTCAACAGTGCAGGCAAGCAATGAAAATGCAAATACTGAACTACAACCAAACAGACGAATGTAACACCATCTGTAAAATGTGAACTGCAACTGTTAATATATTTTTTTGACATGTGCCACGTAAGATCTGGCTGCTTATTTAAGCAGTGCTAAGGCACTTGGGAATATATTGCTTATAAACAGCACAATTGCACTTGTAGGTACAGAAAAAAGGCAATATCATAACATGATTTCTGACTCGATTTTAAAATACTTTCATGCACACAAGTAAAATACTAACAGTATTTTAACTGTTTTTAAAACAAAGTTTAACTTATATAAATTCAACATTAAACATTCAAATAATGATATTCTATTACGTAAAATATCTCATTTATATAAAACATTTAACAGCTTAAATGAACAAGTTATACTATTTACATGATTAATGAAAACTTCCCAAAGGGGTGCATTGATGAGCAAAATTAGCATCCTCACCATACAATTTACTCATTTGCTATAGTTACATATTTTATGGATAACAGTACTACAGAATTAAAGCCTGTGCTTATCTTTGTGATTAAAATTTTACGCACATGCTAAAATAGCTAATATATTTATAAATGATTTTCACTATGCTCTTTCAAGAAAGTTAACAATTAAAAAAACCTATTGACGACCACAATCCCATCAATTTCAGGAGGAAAAAAAATAAAACCTTTTCAGTTTGCGGGGAAAAAACACCAAATTTTACAACTAATGCTCGACAGCCTATAGTATACATTGGTAATTAAGATATTACAAAATCATTTAGTGTGCCACATTAATGTATCCATCTTCCGTTAATCCTACAGACATCCAAGCTCATTTCACAGCTGCATGACTAAAATGGTACCATCTTCTCTGCAAAACTGCACATGCAGTCAGTTTCAAGCAGTTTAACAAGGTAATGCTGAATGGAATCCTGGGATTGGACTACCAAGTTGGCTCATCGAACATGGAATTGGCATTGAGGCAATTTATATAAGCCTTGCGAGAATCAAATACGTGTATGAATTCAATTACCACTCAGCATCACCGGTGGCTCTGGAAAACACAAAATCCCTACCATTGAGGTTCATGATGCCATCTTTCAGGTGGAACTTCCATTTGTTTTTGCTCCGGTGAATCTGTCCCAATAAAAAAAAAAGTTAATATAGGGCATTGTTTTACATCATCTATTGAACACTAATTTCAATTTAAAGCTTTCGTGACTGCAAGGATTCATCTTCTTCGGTTCTTTCGGTAAAGTCACGTAGAATGAGAATAAAATAACAAAATAAAATAACAATAAAATTCTCATAACGTTTGGGCCACAACACAAGCAGCCTTCTTCAGGTGAAAGAACAGAACTGTCGGGATGACAGAGCTTCATTCTACATGACAAGAGCTTCAATTGAAGCTCAATTGAAGCTCTGTCGTCCCGACAGTTGTTTTTTCACCTGAAGAAGGCTGCTTGTGTTGTGGCCGAAACGTCGTGAGAATTTTATTGTGTTATTTTATTTTATTATTCTCATTCTATGTGACTTTAACGAAAGAACCAAAGAAGATGAACACTGATTGTTTCCCCAAATAAAATACTGGAACAGTAACACGTCTTAAAATAAATAACGTGTTAAAATATACAACTACTCAATCTGCCAATGATCAGTGCCTTTCATGTACAACTTACTTTGTCATACTGACACACGACCACATTGTCAGTTTCAAAAAGCTCCGTGCCTTCCTCATCACTGACATCATCCTCAGAATTCAAAGGTTCCTGAAAAATAATGACAAGTGTTACTTCTTGGCATGTTACCATGGCATGGACAAGGAGCAAAATCAATTGTACATTGGAATAAATTAATCAAACCTCCTCTACATGCTCCGCCTCCTCGCCCAAGTCATCATCCTTGTCTTTATCTTCTTCTTCTTCATCATAATCATCCTCTGATGAAGTATCTCCAGCACCATCAACTTGAATGATTACAGGTGGCTGCGCACTTGAAGATGCACTGCTCACTGGTCCAATTGCAACACCTGCCTAAATGATTCGTATAACATAGAAAATGGGTGAACTCTGCCATCACTAAACTATGCATCTATAGAGGTACACCCGGCAGGGGAGGTGCAAGAGGCAAGTTCATCATAAATTATATAATCAACCCTCAAACAAAAGCCGATGCAAAACTGTAAAAAAATGTCACGCAATGGATACATTTTACAGTAACACCCTGCCAATAAGAATGCAATTTGAAGAATGATTTCATGCTGATATTTGTTACAGTATCACTATTGTATGCCAAGCCATACCTGCTGAGCAGGCTGAACACGCCCCGTGATGACAGACTGATGCTGCGACACAGGTGGCTGCTGCTGCAACAACACAGAGCCGGGTGGCAAGTTCTGATGTGTTGAGGTCAGCTGGGTAATGACCTGATAAATAAAAAACAATATTACAACCTAAAAATACGCACATCACTGCAAATCACTTGGTGTGTAACGATTCATCTTTAAAGGGTCGAGCGGTCACTCAAACCCATTACATACAAATCGAAAAACCACTTAGCATTAACAATTCGATGTATGTTACCCCAAGCTGAAGAAACCATACTTGATGAATCTATGCCCTCGTTCCATCCCGATAAACAATACACTGTATATATTAAAACACATACAGTATACCACTCTCTACCTATGACCATGAGGATGTGATGCTTTTAAAACATTTCATGTAAGTGCCCTTTGTCAACCCACTGCTGATTTAGGGCCTACCCACACCATAGGTTGTGGGAGTTGTTTAACCAAACTTCACCACGCTGATAAAAGAAGTGTCCAATACACTTGGTTTATGGATCAATTATTACCAAACTATGTCAGTCAAAAAATGTATTCGTACTTGCTGAGGCATCTGCTGTTGGATCACTCCAGGGTGGCACGTTGGATTCTGCATTTGCCCCGGCAGCATGTGGGGGTTTACATGTTGTAGCTGCAGCAACTGCGTCAGCCCTGCTTGCTGCTGCTGCTGCTGTTGTTGTTGCTGCTGCTGCTGCTGTTGTTGTTGAGCATGCTGCTGCTGAGACTGCTGCTGTATGACAGGTGTCTGACCTTGTGTCTGAGCCTGAGAAACCTGCTGCAGCTGCAAGACCTAGAAAAACATAAACAAGTCAATATTTATATTCTTAGTTTTTTCGGTAAAGTCACGTTGAAGAGAAACAACAAAATAATAAAATATATATTATTATTTTGTTGTTTCTCTTCAACGTGACTTTACCGAAAAAACTAAGAATATGAATTACTGCAGTCACGAAAGCTTTAAATCAAAATTTAAGTCAATATTTAACAAAAAAAGTTTAATCACATTGCATGAAAGTTAGGCAAAGTACTGTATTGCCATTATCGAATTGAAAATAAGGCACATTGTTTAAAACAAGCTGCCATGTGGTGTAAACAATTCGTATTTTCCCATATATTGCTTTAACAACACAACTGAAATACATTTCAAACTTGATTTGAAGCTTTCGCGACTGCAGGAATTACTCTTTGCTTCTTTCGGGACGTCACGTAGAAATAATGATTTAATTTATTTTCTTTCTACGTGACTTTACCGAAAGAACCAAAGAATGAAATACATTTATGCAATTTTGAATAAGTCTGTTTAATAAAAATGGCATTAGTTATCCTTTGTGACCTTTATTTATGACTCTAAATCTTGATTTATCCTGGAAAAATCCCATGGAGCTATGAAGCTCTTTCTCACAGATGTCCAGCAGGGACAGTTCAGAAAGTTACAACAAACCGTAGAAACAATGACAGGAGTGCAAAGCAAAATCACGAAACCTGTGTGTGTGTGTGTGTAGCCAAAGCATTTGTACATTTACACACACCGGAGGCAGCTGTTGCAGGATCTGTAGCTGGCCAGGCTGTCCTGACTGTCCCTGCTGCATCTGCTGGATGGTTGGAACTTGTCTCACCTGCTGTATGGTGGGTACGTGCTGAACCTGGATCTGTGCACATATCAAACCCACACAATTAGACTTGCAAACATAAGGTTGTGGTGCTTGGGCAATAAGCACAATCACAATAAACCACTCTTCGGTTTGATTTTCACATTTGTGTCACATTTATATATTAAACACAGAGGTATTAAATTTGATGCAATTTCCTGGTGCGAGAGTTCAAATATCATTCAAGCTTCTTATATTTCCCCACCTCTAGTCACGTTCACCCAGTATTATAAATGGAAGTCGATATGCAGGCAACGTGTGGTGGGATTAATGTGGGTACTTCAAAACACGTCTGGTCAGTGTGGAATAGACCCAAAAAACCCTCTTAAAAGGGGGCGCCTCTACAGCTCCTTCTACTGGCAGCCCATCCCCCAGCAGTGGGTTTAGCAAGTCATTCCAAGGACTGCACCTTTATCTTTTCAGTTTCATTTATTAGGTACAGCCCTGTGAGCCATGCAACTCTTGACTCGGGTGCAACCGCAACAAACAAAAACATGAACAAAGAACATCTTTAAGTGACTACGTGCAAGAGAAATATCAAGGAAAAAACAACAAAGTCTTCAAGAAAAAAACACCGTATATCAACGCTGTTTGCAAAAATCCCAGTGGGATGCAAGTCAAACAATAACCATAAGAAAATTTAGATTTAATTTATTAGGTTAACTCTGTACTTCTAGCAAAACATGGCTAAACCATACGTTTTTGAAATCACCAAAATAAAGCTATAAAAATAATGTAAGTGATCATAGGAACTGTGATTCCAGTTTAACAATAAACGATTTCCCTAACATGTACGACCAAACTTTGCAGCCATAGCTGGCAGCATGAATCACTCCATAACAGCGGGAATATCAGGAGTATCAACATTTTTCAATGCACCTTTAAAGATCACCACACTATAAGCAAAACTCAAGATCATACTTTACAGTGGTAATCCAGAGCGATGCATTTGATTTCAGGCCACTCTGCATAGCAGTGGCAGCTAGGAGTGCACAGCTCCTCAAGAGCAGTTTTGATTGAAGATCTCACAGGTAGTTATTAAGTTGCAGTTTATTGGCAATAGCATTCTAGACCCTGGGGGCATCAACAGCAAAGGCCCTTCCCTCCAGTATTTGTACAACAATAAGGGATGTGAAGCTGGTAAATGAGCAAGGACCTTAGGTCACATTTGTTCTTCAGCATTTTACACATGCTGTGCTTACCTGCTGCATTTGCGGGACCTGCTGGAACTGCTGCATCTGTTGAATATGCTGCAGAAACTGCGGTGAAACAATCTGCTGCCCCCCCTGGCTCACCACCACTGGCATTCGACCAATCATGCCTAAACATCGCAATGGTAATTTGGAAGAAAAAAGGTATAACAGGGCAAGCATATTAGCAAATATGGTCTCATCGTTGAGGTTTATATTTTTTTAAAAATTACACCATGAGACAGGATATTTTTCCACAATCTGAAAGCGTGTTATTTACTTTGAAGAGCAACTTTAACCATAAGAGTATTTTTTATAGCTAATGCTAGTAGTGTATTACCTTGGGAAAGAGCAGTGACTTGAAACGGCGAGATCACGCCAGTCGGTAGAGTCATTGTCGCAACAGGCGTAGCCTAAGGGAAATACATTTTTGTGCAAAAATAAATCGTTAACACCGAAATCGTACCATCATATCAGCACATACGGAAAAAGGCATTTTCCTTTTTTACAACTATCTCACTGCAAACATTCCATTGTGACTGCTGAAAGACTTTTCAGCACTTACCACTGTAGTTGTAGTCATTTGAACATTTCTCTGATCTGGCAACACACCAGCTACAAAAGACAAAAGCATGTACACGTCAACAGCATATTCCGTGAATATTTACTGCAAAGTGCTCTTGTATAAAATTTACAACCAAAAAATGCAGTCTGAAAAATACAATATCGGTAGTTAACCTGCAGTTGTTTGTGGCCGAACTACAGCCACTGTAGGCGAGGGTTTCTTGTTCTGCGGATGTGGCTGCTGTGCACGAGCAATCATCAAGTTCTCCTGCTGCTGCAGGCTCTCCAGAGCCTTTGACTGCATTAACTTGCTTTCCCAGAGCTGTGATGAAAGATAAACGGTTTCGTTTATCATTAACATGCAATGTTCATGAAACTATGTATTTCTACAAGTACAGGCCTTCCTCTGAATCTCATCCCAAAATGCAGTGTGATCTTATGAGTTAGCAATTGTACATCTTCCCAGTAGCATAGTTTATACTTTTTTTAAGTCCAAGAAGGTTAAAGTGGCATAGCAGTTAACACAATGCACTTTAAATATGGTGAAATAAGTTCGATTTGCAGCCATAGCTAATAGTCGTGGCAAGTTATATTTAAACTAGTTGTTGGGGAAATACCCCTCCAACTCCACCAACACACAAACCAGTGTGAAGTGTGGTCAAGCAACGCCTACGGTCGACATCACTTGGGGAAGCCTTCATCCAACAGTAGATTGACTTGGGTTGTAAATTACTTTATCATATTCATTACCATGTGAACTTAAACAACAAAAAAGTGTACTATTAGGAATTGGACATTTTATTTAAATACAAACGATTTCCTTCATGATGTAATGAACTATGCAATCGTTTTTTTACCATGTATGCACATTTCATGCAAAGCTTTATTTTACACCCATGTCCAGAAATAATGAGTGGTACCAGATAATACAAAATAGACAAAAACAAGAAAATGTACGTGACTAAAGCCAAAGCAGATGGCACAAAAAATAACATAAGTACAAATGTGGAAGGTAGTACAAAGGAATGAAACATTACATGAAAAATGGAACAGACAATATAAATAAACAAACAAGATAGCAGACAATAAAATCGAATATTTAATGGAATCCTGGCCCTGAATTCTGGCATTTTTTTAATCTTGCAGTGGGGCGGGAGGAAATCGTTACATGCCTATTATGTTCATACTATAGAGGTATATTGGAACACTTGTACTAAAACAAACCTGCTTAAGTTCTTGCAAAACATGTTCATCCACTCCCTCGTCTAGAAAGATGTCTTTTAGATTTTGCACAACATCCTCAATCACAGCTGTGTAGAGCTTGGGCTGGGGGAAAAACACAAAGACAATGTAATCCATTAAATTCATTAACCACTGAAATTTAAATATAACTAGGCAATTACATGGGCGCATGAGATGTCATTTTATAGCACAATGACATCACAAAACATTCATGGCATGCATAAAACAGCAATTTTATATAATCGAATGCATACGTTAAAAGGTATTTCTAGAACTTTAACCACCAAGTTTTTAAACATAACAAAAATTCAAACAAGGAACTACTGCACAAGTTAAAAATGAGAAGAGCAATTGCAACAATGTAAAAAAGCCAAAGTTTTTTTTGTGGAAAAACAAATGTGGATACTGTTTATTTTCAAAACCAGCAACACAAGCAGTCCTCCCTCAAATATTAATACACAATACTGGTCATGACAGTTCATAGAAATACCTCAACTCTTTAGAGAATGAATCGCATGGAAATCCTAATAGAGTATTTAGAATTGTCGGTTCATTCAATCTCATTTCCTCAAAATGAGTCAAATCTGAATTCAGTTTGACGTGACAAAGACCATCTAGACATCGGTCTACAATTTTTAGGGTCGGTATTTAAGGCAACGACAAAAGTCTCTTTTTTTGTGGGTGAAAATGTTACATTGGGCTGCTTATCTTTTAGCTCAATGCAAGGCATGTCAGCCAATCATGGGCCAATGTGACCAAGTTTGGTTCACATCAACTTCACATTTGTCAAAGTACTCTCTTTTAAAAGTTTAAGTAACTCAGTTTATTCGGACTTACTTTTTTACGCATTTAAGTCTGTTCAAAAGTTTCGTTATATACAAGGTTGAACATCTAACAAATGTGCAGTACCGCCACTATACTGACCATACATTCATTGGTAATGGTAAAGCAGACAGTGCTTGTGTGGTCAAGTCATTTTATTGTGTGTAGTGCATACAATACACTCTATTGGGTTAATTCGTCCTCATTCACTCCGTGGGGGTCACATTTATAAATGGACCAAGTATTTAAAGACATTTAAGTGTACGTGGAAAAAGTTAATGCGTAGCGCACTATACACATTATCAAGTGCTTCGGTCAGGGATTATTAATGTCCTTTAATCAGGTCAGCAGAATACCTCAGACATCAAGATTACAGCGGGATCAGCTCTGCCTGTAGCACTTATTGTGAAAAATAATACCTGGGACACTGTAGTATGACCACTGCATTACAGTTCTACCGTGTTTTCATTGACTTGCAGGGTCATGATCAATGTGGGACGAGAGCTGAAACGCAGGCACACAATGGCAAACGTCTCTCATAGCCACGTTGAAAGGGGATTTTGTTTCCTCCCAAACATCAATCTTAAACATGATGGTGGTATGGAACCCCCCCCAAGTCCCTGGCCCACTGGGATCTGAAGCTACCTTCGTGTGGATATTTTCAAGTCTAGACGGAATGCTCACCCTTCTGACCCCCCCACCCCCAGAGTATATCCCCACAGGCAAATTGAATTACATAAGTCCTCCAAAAAAACATAGCAAAAACGAACGCAAACAGAACAAGAGGGCCTAAAACACGATCCCGAAGGGGACCCCGGCTTCTAAAAAAAAAAATCCCTGCTCACCTTTTGTGCCTTTCACCGCAATTTACTTTTGCGTGCAAAAAATACAAAACGCGATTTTGGGCGCCAACACGACGCGTTTAATAATCTCTTGGCTAAATCTCTTTCGTTGTTGTAAAGATGCACGGCAATGCATCGACTACCATCTCGTTGTTGTTATAATAATAATATTAGGTGTCTTGCCAATGACTCGTCGTGTGAGACAGACAGAGAGACAGAGAGAGACAGACTCTCCTCCTCCACAGAGGCAAAGACTTGCCCCGTTCGGGGCTGTAGCAGTATCCGCCACTTCACCATTAAAACGCGCACAGCCGACGATCTTAAAAAAATAATAATGCTTACCGACTGCGCACGCAAGAGAACACTGAAGGATCGTAACACACGCCCGACTTACGACTCCCGGTTTGTAACGTTTACAAAAGGCAGCAGCAGCAGCAAAGGAATCGTATGAAGCCCGGCGGACGATGGTAAAGAGAGTGAGTGAGAGAGAGAGACGGAAAAAAAAAAGTGTTGGAAGCCATTTCGCTCCCAACAGCAACCACCAGCAAAGATGAGGACGAAATGTTTGTTCGGCAACAAAAAAAAAGCATTCACAGGCATAAAAAAATACTAAAATAAGCCCACCCCTTATCGCCTCAGCCACAAACACTCGGGTCTTACCACTTGGTTACCATATGCCATGATGGCTCGCGCCTGTGGGCCCCCCTTTTTTTTATAAACGACGCGGCTTCAGAGAAGCCGAGCGTGAGGTGGCCGCAGACGCTTATATATGCGACCCGACTCCAATGGCGCCCGGGTATGAAGGGTTGCTGTGGGGGTAGGGGGGGCGGGGAGACGACGGGGGCTTCCCTTCACATTTCCCACCACGCATAAGGCGATGAACGTGTGTTTCCTGTGTGTGTCTCTGTGTGTGTACGTGTTGTCTCTGTGTGTGTCTCTGTGTGTCTGTGTGTGTGTCTCTGTGTCTGTGTGTGTCTCTGTGTGTCTGTGTGTATCTGTGTGTGTGTCTGTGTGTGTCTGTGTGTGTCTCTCTGTGTATGTGTGTCTGTCTCTGTGTGTGTCTCTGTACGTGTGTCTCTCTGTGTGTATGTCTGTCTCTGTGTGTGTCTGTGTGTCTCTGTGTGTCTGTACGTGTGTCTGTCTCTGTGTGTGTCTGTCTCTGTGTGTGTCTGTACGTGTGTCTGTGTGTGTGTCTCTGTGTGTCTCTGTGTGTGTGTCTCTCTGTCTCTGTGTGTCTGTACGTGTCTGTGTGTGTCTCTCTGTATGTGTGTGTCTGTCTCTGTGTGTGTGTCTGTATGTGTCTCTGTGTGTCTGTACGTGTGTCTCTCTGTGTGTCTGTACGTGTGTCTCTCTGTGTGTCTGTCTCTGTGTGTGTGTCTGTACGTGTGTCTCTGTGTGTTTCTGTGTGTCTCTGTGTGTGTCTCTCTGTGTCTCTCTGTCTGTACGTGTGTCTGTGTGTGTGTCTCTCTGTGTGTATGTGTGTGTCTGTGCTATGAACCTGGCCACCCGGGTTCGATTCCCGCTCAGGGCCAACACCACCAGTGACGATTATCTGAACCGGTCCCGGGCCTCCCCTAGGTCGGCTCAGCCTCTCAAATTGGTACCTTGTGCGGTGTGTAGTAAACATCGCCACGAGGGAGACAAAGGCGGCCGGGCGTGGTTGCTGGCCACCCACCCCATCGTGTACCGTTCCGGCCTTCATAGGTGCTCGCTAACAGCACTTGCCCCTACAGTCTTTTAAGGCTATAGGGGGAATCTTTGGGGGAATTATAGGGCCAAGTTAACCCCCCCCCCCCCATTCACCATGGGTTTGTCGTTAACTATCGCTGATCTCTCGTCATGTCGGTCAGGAGGCTTTATTATCCCCAATATACTATCCAAAATATTGGTCGCGAAAATATTTTCAATTGGAGATTTAAATGTAGTGTTTCTTGGGAAACGGTGATTTACCACCGACACTTTTTATGCCTAATATACCACTTTTTTATTCTTTACCGAGCTCAAAACTGTCACGTAAACAAAACATGCCAATTCGTTACTAGTTCAGCACACCGGTGTGTTGTAGAGTGAACCCACAACATTTACAATTCGAGTACGACGTTTCGCCGGTAATTACAACCAGCATCATCAGTCAACAGCCAGATTTGTGGAGACATCCTCCTGTTTCGGTCTTAAATCTCGGTCGGTCAGTCAACCAATCCTATGGCACCTGGGTCTGTTTTGTGACTTCCTGCCAGCGGGCCTTCGACACTGTTACGTGGCCTCAGAGTCACCGCCACTTAGTGATGAACGGCGGTTGTAGTTGTTGTTGGGGCCATCAACATCATCACCTTCGTCTTCATAAGCACTATCATCCCAGTATGGGCCAATATTGGGGCCAAACAGTTCCAAAGACATGCCAACATTGGCATGTTTACTGGAATGAACGTCACAATATTCGCAATTGTCATAATTACCGTCACTGTGACCATCACTGTATTCATCGTCGAAATTGTCATAAATTCACCTTCAGTTGAAATTGTCATGATCACCATCAACATAATTTTTACCACAATTATCAGCAACATCAACTCTTCTCACCGCTGTTATCATTACAATCACCATCTTCAATTATCGCGATGGTCATTATAATCACCTTCATCTTTCACCATTTACGATTACCACCTATCAATAATCTTGACCTTCAATAATAATATTTATGATCCTTTAATTGTAATCATTGTAATTTTACTGTACAATATTTATAAGCAGGTTAAAAGCCATTGAGACCAATTGTCATTTTTTTTCAATGGACTCGTAAACAAAGCATGAAACCAAAATCACAGCTCTGTAGGACAAATTGAAGCACAATATATACAGCATCAACATATATCAACATAAAGACTAAATGTAACATCAATCATCCAAAACATTCACAAAAACAATAAAACATGATGAATATTAACTGAACACTACAATTACCAATTTAAATTATTTGGTGATGGTGCACGGACAACTAAAAATATCACCACATTCGTTCATAACACAGCCCCCTTAAGAGATAAAAAAGTATAACCGGGGTGCACACACGACCAAGCAAGCTAGAGCTGAGAGGCATCCAAATAAACAGGGAACGTTGGGCCAAAGTTTCCAACCACGTGCAAACATTGGCCCAATGTTGGCCTAAAGTTGGCCCAATGTTTGGCCTTACGCTGGCCCAACGTTGGCCTTACGCTGGCCTTACGCTGACCCAATGTTTGACCAACGTTAACCGAACGCTGGCCCAACGTCAAACCAACGTGGTTCGAACGTTGACCCAACGTGTGGGCCACATTCACGGCAAACGACGAGCGAGCACGCGTGTCCACTCTACGGATTCCAATCAACCGTGTTTACCCCTCGTGCGTGATTGGCCCACGGTGGGCGGGCGGACATGACGTCACGGCGCGGTATTTAAGGCGCTCTCGAGGGCCGCCGTCGTATTTAAGGCGCGGCCAAAGCCCTCGCTGTGGGCAGAGGCGCGCGGCTCCCGTTCGCTGCTGCTGCTATTGCTGCCAGTGCCCTATTGGCGGCGGTGTGGCCGGATATGCCGCCCGTGCCTTGCCACAGTTCTCCAAAGCTATTGTGTGCACCGGCAACTCGGTCATAGACACGGCAAACGTGTGCCACGAAGAAGGGCGGTTGCCCGAAACGCCGCCGATTGTGACATACCTGTCAACCCATGCTGTTTAGTCGTATTCTTGTACAGGGAAGTTGGGTTTTCAGGTCCATACGGCGTACAGCCGTTTCAATACGGGCAAAAAAATTGTCTGTTTCTCCCTTGTGATGGGACTTTGTAGGATGAACGTTGAGATTTATAAGGTCACGAGGTGACCAATAAGGTCTGAGTTGGTCTGTAATAAGGTAGGCACTGATAAGGGGTTGACTGGTATGTGTTTTCTATTCAAGGTCGCAGTAGTTATTGTTGACAAGCGTGTCGAGATTTATTGTGGCTTGTACACCATTGCCCAACGCAGCAGCAGCATCAAATTATAGGGACACTATATGGCGAGAAAGACCCACCATAACAATGGTGCAGGCCGGAAAGCCATGAGTTTCAAACACATTTGTTGCATATGCAAAAGGATTTAAGTTATTTTACTGCCACTGTTCACACCTCTCTGGCCTCTTATGAGCTGTGAAGAAGGGCCATTGCCCGAAACGTCTTATATGTGTCATGTCCTTTCTCAGACGTCGGCGATCATGATCATAGCCTATTGTATTATTTGTAAGGCTTATTAACGAATGTTTTAAAGGGTTTTTTTTAATTTGTGGGTTTGCACCACTGCCAAGGCAGTATCGCCAAATACTGAAATTTGCTCTGGATAGATAGGGTTGTCACCCGTGTGCAATTGTTTGTATGTGTCCAGCCCAATTTGTTAATCCACTGCTGGATGAGAACTCTATTAATATTGGCAGTGCTTGTTTCTGATGGGTTCCCTCAGCACTGCAGCATTCGACTCTTTAAACAACGTGCATGACTTTATGCCACTGCCCCCAACACAAACATCATTTGTCGTGATGATACAAGAAAGATGTATCCATATTTTGTTAAATTCAACGGTGTAAATAAATGAACTGGTTGTGTATTAAAACATCGCATTTTTACCATTGTAAATTTCCACCATTTACCATTATGTTTGAAGAGAGAAGTGCAAGGATGAATGCCATACTGTCACTCTTGGCTAAATGTTTCAAGCAAATTCTGTACTATATGTATGTTTCAAATGAAATACAAAATAAATGCATGACTGTACTGAATAATTATACAAACTATCAAACGCTTTTTTAGACATCTTGCATAACCAGCAGTCATTTATTTACTGCGGAACTCTTGTTTGAGAATTTTAGTGAACTGACTATAAAGATTTAATATGCGTATAGAGTACGTATATATTTTAGATAGAAATACATATCCCAAAGACAAACTTGGATGCAGTGTTTGTATATCTAAGTGAATAAGAAATATAGTAGATCATGCTCCCCACACTGGGAAATTGGCATGCCTTTTGATGACATTTGTTAACAAGCAATGTGAAGCACAGATAAAATAATCCATAAGGGCACTAAGCGAAGGTTGTCTTGCCCTCATGTACATCAGTAAGGTTGTTTAAAGTTTGTAGTTAAGTCAAATTAGATATATGACCCTATGGAGAATGTATGTTAGGATAATACAAAAAATATGCAGCATTCAAAACATTAATATATACAATTAATATCCATGAGTGTAAATACCTTGATTAAATTCAGTCTTTTGAAAACCTCCCCAGGCAATGTCAGTCATCGAGGTTACGTGCTGCTATCAGTTGGTACATTTTCTCAAATTTATTTTGATGCTGATCGAAGACAAGAGGACCACAATGCACCTCTTCATGAAATGCTGATGGGTTTTTGCATATACATTTTTGCAATCTTATTTGAAGCATTGCACAATGTAATTCGTACGTGAAATAAAATGTAGTACATACAGTATTAAGCATATGGAGTCCTGTGTCCACTTCTAATTCATGATATAGAAATAGAATGGACACTAATAATACAGTACAACGATATAAAACTGTCCCATCTGTATGTATGTAGAACTTCTTTCGCACCAAGAAAACCAACACCTTTCATAGCAGTTACAATTTTATTTTGGAATGTTAACACAGCATAGTTTTCACATACAACTCAAAAGGTACACATTCTGCCTCCCCTCGTGTTAATCACTGTACAATATTTTGTGTATCTTGGTAAAACAATAAAATCTGCTTTTGTACTTACTGCACAGTAACATTGTTAAATATATTTATAATCCCAAAGTTACCACAAACTTGACGTTTGTTGTGGTTCGACGAGTGAAATTATATTACTTTCAATGCAGATTGTCAAGGAAACTAGCAATTAAACTGGAGAGGAGTGTACTATACTGAACCTACTTTCCTATTTATATAAAAAAAACGCATTAAACTGCAACTGCCAAAAAAATGTATCAATGCACAAAAGTGAATGCACCCAACCGCAGCATAACACAAGTTTGCCAGGAAAGTGCAAGATGCATACCTTTATATCGGTTATACTGAATTAAAAAAAGCAATGGTACCACGGGTGTAACACAAGTAACGCATGGCAGCTTATGTTATAAAAAAAATATCCTGGACTATAAAAATTGTTTTTTTAATCAAACACACAAACATCAAGGCAGTCTAGGGGAATTTTGGAGAGGCAATCTGGATTTGATGCTATAAATGAAAAATACTTATAGGCAGGGGGGGGCTATGAATGAAAAACACTTATAGGCCAGGGCAGTCATTTTATCAGTAGTTAACATCATAATTTTAAAGTATTGTTTGGTGTTTTAACACGAAAATATACCTTACCTATCATATTGCCTTAAACGTATACTTTAGGAGGTATCCACAAATTAGGTCTCAAACGTTCTATAACATGCCAATTAAAACAATTAACTTACATCTCTTTGTCGACAACGATGCAGGATAAAAGCCGACGTATGGCCTTGTTGGCATGTCCATGACATGAGGGTTGCAGAACCAGCTCAGATATCACTCTTCACTCATGTTAGCCGTGGCGAGAATCAAACTGAAATCACCGAGTTCATTGCATACATCGCTAACCAATGCACCACCACTCCACCCCAACTTATGTCCAATGTCAAACATCAGAGCGACCACCAAAGAATTGAGACTGCCCACAACTCCGTGGCTTAACATTTCTAAAACGTGCTTGTTTTAATTCATCCACTAGAGGGCGCAGAAGGACCAGTTATATACGTGCATTGCAATGAGGAATGTTCTGTTGTAGGGCAGAAACTAGTTAGCAAAGTTGGTCCAAGAGAGGACTAATGCATTGGTAGTAGACGCCAGTGCACATAGAGGTCACCCTCTAAATATCAAATGTCCATGAAATGCCTTTAATGCTTAAGTTAAGAATCAATATATTCTCACAAAAGTAAGACAATTTTATGCAACATATAAAGTTACATTGCTATATTTGGTCATGAATATAGCATTTGCAGAGCATGCTGAATACATGGAGAATATAGCCTATGCACGCCATATCCTCAATACAACTTATTATATATTTTATATGGAAATATTAGAAGCCCAATGAGAATTAGAGGCCAACGAATATGCAGCACTAAAATATCCTTTATAAACAAGATTAAACTCTTGACATTTGGCACCAATTTAAAAACAAATTAAGAAATACTGTACTGAATATTGGCCAGATCATTACGTGGCCTCACCAATTGTGAATTGTACTTAATATGTTTCATGCAGTGTTTCAAAATTGCATGTTCTGGTTAAAAGTGACAACTGTCATTGTGGCCAGGTGGATTGGAGGTCAGGGCACTGAGCTGGCACTGCCAAGATCCTAGATTCAATTCTAGGCAGCCATCGGGGAATAAAAAACTGGGTTCTCAAGTGCAGCGAGTTTATATTCTGACCCTGGATGTAAATATCTGTTTTAAATCATCATTTGGCAAAATTCCAGCTGACAATTAAACATATTGGCTCGACTGCAATGTGATGAACAATCGAAAGAGTGTGGGGAAAGGGAACTGTCCTGTGTAAAGAATAAAAAGGCCACTTGAAGAAATTTGTGGGAGAAGTCCGTTCTCCAATATATGTTAATCTTGGGACTTCATGTTGTGCAAAGATTTCATGAATAAAATGTAGGCTATTAAGTTCAAACGTTTTATCCAAGGAGTCACAACAAATCTCCTGTTGGGCACTATCTCAAATCCTTGTTTTATGTACTGTACTCATAATAATAAGTGCATCCAGTTAAAATGAAAATTAAGTTTCAAGATTGGATATGCAGATAACTTTAATAACCCACTGCAAAACTGTTCATATCTATAAAGTAAATGTCCAGTTTTTGATTATGGCAACATAAAAAATCAAGTCTTGCCTTACTGCAGTTCATACATACATGGTGTCCATAATATTATCCATTATTAAATAATAAAACACAATATTTTCAACTATGTGGTTGACATTGGGAACATTTTCCTAATGGTTCAGTTGTTTGGGTTTTAATTTACCAATACACATGAATGTCTTCAACAACACATGATAGAATTGAAAAAATCAAGCCAGAAATGTCTGTGAATATCTGGAACAAACCTCGATACAAAGTGTGTCACCAATGGTGGTTTAGTGATGAGACTCATACAATTAACACACCACCAAGTGTTCAAGTTTATTCAATCCTCCCCCATCTGTCCCATCAGCAGTATAAATGGACACACCACAGTTAGTTGATGGGCAGGTAACGTGTGGGTACTCCCACCCCTTCCAAGATGTGTGGCCATTGTGGAACAGTAGGCCAAATACCCTCTAGGGGAACTCTCTAGAGTGGCAACTCGTGGAGGCCTTTCCACCCACAGTGTTGTGAAAGTAATTGTTTTTTACGACAAATGTGAGTATATATTAAAAAAATCAACCTAGCTCAAACTGCTGTCTATTTTTCAATGAATTATACATTGATGGGCACCCTGTATATACATACAGTTTATTGCACGCATTTACTTTATACATATACCTTAGATTATGAAGCAAGGTTTTTTTTGTTATAGATAGAAATGAATGTGGCACAGAATAAAGAATAGCATTCGAGTTTCTGCATGACTTACGCTGTATTTATTTCTCCTAAGAATTCAGTTGGAATGAAAATGAAGCGAAGCAATCCATTTTCTCTGCATTTTGTTAATAGTCTGCTGAACTGTCGGCAACAAAGAAATACATTAACGGATAAACGAGAGAATGGCCCCAATAGCAATTAAGGGGATAAACCCACTGCAACCAGCTGCAACAATAGTACACAATATAAAGGTTTCACTCTTCCATTATACCACGAGCTTTATTACACACAGAAAAGAAAAAGCTTAAAATCCCTATTGCTGGATCCTGTCCAGCTAAAATATGTCAAACATATTAAAGTTTCTTAAAATAAAATTATTTAATTTTTTAAAGGGATCTTGTGTTACATTAAGCCACTGTGTGTGTGTGTCAATTTAACAATGGGTTATTTTTCCCTTTAAAAGCCAACGTCCATCATTTGCTTCAATTACTGTAGTAATTAGAACATACTCCCAAGATTTTAAACTTAGCATAACCACCAGAGTGAATTTTGACAGAATGTACTTACTCATAAATGGATTTAACTAAAGCTCTCTTTGTTAATGTACATTATTCGATAGACTGTGGGTGTTTTACAGACATTACTGCCCGACACGTCAGTTAAAAAATAAGCTAAATCTATTTTAAACGAGGCAGCCATGCATTGCGCCTCGAGTAATTTCTCCTGCTACTTCTAGGATCTTCGATGAGTTGTTTTCGTTTGGCTGCTGGAGCGATTTACAATTTACACCGAGTCCTAAGAATCATAGACATAGTCTGGCGTGACTTGACTTGGGCAACTTGTAGCAACCCACAGTGTTTAAATACACTAGTTGTGAAAGTATTTCACTTTTTGGTTTTCTTAAACTATCAGTATTATTCGATTATCTCTTAGTGCCGTGCACGCACTCGGCTTTCTCAACGCATCTCACACGTAGCGATACCAACATTTCACCACTAGGTGGCTCTATCGGTTGTGGAAAGATTGATGTTTTTGTATGTACGTTGAACTTCTTTCGCGCCGTACGTAGCCAACCGCGCTAATCGGAGGTGCGTAATTTCGTTTAAAAAACTACACATATTAGCAATCTGTATTCCGGAACGTCACAAATTAAGGTCAAGAGTTTATCTTTGAGATAAACCTTATATTTGTAGATCATTTGTAGACAAAAGAGTTCGAGGTACACAGAGATATATATATAAAAGGTCCCCAACCAAATATAATAGCGTCTCCCTATGGGATAAACTAATAATGGCATTTTAATTTTAAGAAGTCAGTTAAAAGCTGCTGCTCTTGTGACACAACAGCTTCGAACCATGCTCAACATTTTTCCGACAAAAGTGCACACCCTTCCTCAAAATATACACCCCCTGCCATAACCAGGGTTCACTGTTGTGAGCACTCTCCTGGCTTATCTTCGTCCACTTCCCCCACCTTCATCCATCTCTTCTCCATTTCCACCTGGCACACGGCATGCAAGAGGAGCGTGCATTAGTCTTAGCACAGCAACCTTTGAGACAGAGCGAGCCTTTCACCACCGTCTCAAATACCGTCGTTCGACCCGGCACTGGGCTGCTAAAAAGTGATCCACCACACATCAACAGAAGCCATTTCCTGTATGAGAAATCTGAACGTAGAATTGCTAGAAGTCGCTCATCCAGCCGTGGTGTAACGGGTTAGCACACTGTCCTTTCAATCCCGGTGTCGCCAGTCCAATTCTATCCCACGGCGCGGCAGACGAAACAACGCGCCGGTTTGTTCAATCCTGAAGCCACAGTCCACCAGGCAGCATAAATGGGTACACCACGGTTAGTCGACCGGTAGGTCGCGTGTGGTGACGCAGAGTGTGGGCACTCCTATACCGCCAAGGACGTCTGGTCAGCATGCAAGCGTAGGCAATCGTACCCTCCAGAGGTTTCCTCTCGAGCTCCCTCTATTGGCGACCCTTCTGCCAGCAGTGGCGTGATCAAGCAATCGCAGGGCTGCGCCTTTATCTTTTATACGAGATAACTTGGTGCAATTAATATGCATTATACACTCCAAGAAGATTTAATCTTCAGCACATTTCGTATTTGCACTATTCTTATAGCTATGTTTCACACAGTCTGCAATAGTTCCACAGCGTGGGGTGGGGGGGGGGAGGCTTGATTGCTATGCATTCTCCCAATTTGGTAATACAGAAAATATAATATTCTAGTGCTACACCTTTAACTTAATTTCACTCATCCAGCCATAAGCACCTCCGTTCAGCACAGTTGGCTATGTACGCTGCGAAATAAGTTCAACATACATACATACATATTTGCATAACCAAGAAGAACCCAGAGTTGGCCAATCGCTTCGTACCTGGTACCGATAATGCCCTCGGTAGCTGATGTTCTTGATAGCGTCGACGTTCCCCACCACGCTCACGGAGCGGATGTTGGCCCCAGAGGCGGTGGTGGTCTGCATGTCAAACTCCGCCTCCAACGAGTGGAAGAAGCCTCTCGGCACCTCCTGGTCCGAGCCCAGCTCCAGGCGGCACGAGAAGCAGTGCGGGTGGTCGGCCGCTGGCGCCGGGCAAAAGCGAGCGACGCGTCAACAATCACAAGGATCTGCCAATGTCGGCGCCACACTCGTGATCACTCCAGTGCGGTTGATGTCGCTGTCGAGTGTGCGGGTGGTGCAACTGCACCAGGGCCCGTGCGCCGAAGGCCCGCAGGATAAGGTTGCCACCTGAAACTAAACTAAAACTAAACTATTTTAATTTCATCAGGTAAGGCCCACTGAGCTATGGAGCGCTTTTTCAGAAGCAACCTGGCCACAAATTATAGCCCAGCGTAGTGGCTTATTGTGTGGAAATTTATAGCGGCCAAATACTTTCAACATATATTGATTCTAAATATGCAGGGAAACACCCGAGGACCCTGGAGAAAAATCCACACAACCACGGGGAGAGAGACATACAAACTCCAAATATGCAGGTGTCAGCATATGGATCGAATCCACGACCTCCTGTATATCACGAGAGGTAGTTAACATTTCACCACCTGCGAGGTAGAAACAACTGCGACATAATTCTAACTGCAACATACCATGAGGAGAAGAATATCTCACGATACCGGAAGAGGGAAGAGCTCCATGTAAATGCACTATCTTGGCTGGTGTATTATTAAGTGACTGACAAACAACAGGATTTTCTCAGAGGGGGAACCAGGATAGGTGGTAACCCCAGCCTAGGCGCTGGGCAACAAAGAGAGGGGAAATGAAGCCCCATCTCATTTCTTGCACCAGGGTCCATACCAGCCATGCTATGCCACTGCTGCGGTGTTTCAGACTTCCATTGTCATCCCCACCCCCCAAATGCATGCTGGGAGATATAGAGAGAGAATAAAGGAGGGACACATGGATCGGAGAACATATGCCAATTAAAAACAATGGTGACTCTTATGAACTCTAAGTTGTCTTGGGCAGGACACATTGCTTGAAGGGATTATGGCCGAAGGGCAAGACTAGTGACAGAATGGCAGGAAAATGAAGGAACATGCCCCAGAGCATGACCACCAAAGCGATAGTGGCGACACTAACTCATGCGCAGGAGCAAGATGGATTGCGGCATTGTTAGACGGAGAAAGAGAGCGATGACGTAGGGACTGAAGAGGGTGACACGATTGATCAATTATTAATTTCATTCCCTCTGCTCATTCTCTTTAACCCCATCATCAAAATCCTATGATGCATTCACTGGATTAGCAGCAAGGTTACCCTGAGAGTCTTCAAAATCTTCCATCGACTCACCTCTGCCTACCTTTCACCACTCCAGCTCTTCATTTACTTTCTGTTCCAGCAACTAGGGCCTTCTGCTGAAACCCAATGTCAACATTTGCACAGTGGGAGGTCATTCCTCCCTCCTCCGCTAATGCCCCTGTTGTGTGGGGCTATTGATTCCCTGCCACTGTTAAAGTTCAGGCTCAAGACCTTCCTTTTCTCAAACGTCTGTCTCTTCTCATATATATAAAATCAACTTCCTATATGTTATACAAAGACAAGGATCTCCCGTATAACCTTAACAAATTGTTGGGGCAAGTGCTGTTATCGAGCACCGATGAAGGCCGGCACGGCGCACGAGGGGGTGGGTGGCCAGCACCACGCCTGGCCGCCTTTGTCTCCCCAGTGGCGATGTTTACACACCGCACCGGGTACTCATTTAAGGCGGAGTCGACCTAGGGGAAATAATCGTCACTGGTGTTGGCCGTCAGCAAAAATAAAACTATGGGTTGCCAGGTTCGTAGTGCAGCGAGCTAACCGCTACACTACCGCTCTCACACAGACCTCCTTATTCTCTGTGATGCACATCCCTCTGTTTGCTGGAGGTGCAGTTGCATCTTGACACGAGACAAATACCATTAGTATTTTATTCTCGGCGCAGTAGATGGTAATCAGCAATTATCCACATTTAGACTGACTTAAGTCAGTCTAAAAGCATAGCGCTGGAAGAAGACATCTTCCGCCATTTACGTAATTTAATGTGACAGGCGTGAGCACCCTTCTGCCATGCAGTAATGTAGTGCATTCCATCTTGTTATCTTGGACGAAGCCTTCGAATGGGAGAGTCAAGTAAAGAGACCTACTGTATTTTCCTCGTCAAAAAGCAACTATTTTGTTTTTGGCAGAGTGATCCTCTGCAAGGCGTAATGAGTCCCAGCATCTTGCGTGCAACGCCCCTTATGAGAAGCAATGCCAGCATCAGGACTCGAAGTAAGTGAAAATAAAACTGCTTTTCCTTTTCATGTTATGCTATTTATTTGTGACACGGTATTTCTTACTGTGCCACTTGCAAATGTACAATATTTCTTCTTATTTATGAGTTAAACAATGGTTCCCTTTTGTGTTGAACCGTAACACATTTTTAAGGCACTGATCGTACGTGCTGTACAATAAAATATTGAGTTCCGAGATACGAACAAATCGACTTATGAACGGGTCTAAGGAATGTAACCCGTTCGTAAGTCGAGGACTGCCCCCCTATCTGCTTACATCCCCAAGGGAAAATCCCCTTGACAAAGTCTTGAGATTTGGTGCAGTCTTCCTGCATGCATTAATAAATTTTATTATTATTATAACTTTGAAATTATGACGGGAATTTAAATTCAGAAGCACTTCGATTTTCATAACAATTTCGGTGATTTTTTTTTAAACAAATGCAGCAAAACCAATGTTTTTTTTTTTAAACCTCACTTAGTTAAACATTCTTAGTTTCAAAATTATAGATGCATTGTACAATGAACCCGGTGATCTGCAAACAAAATATATCCTGGCCACGGCTAACATCAGTGACGAGTAACATATGAACCAGTGCTCATTGCTCTCCCTACCCCGATTCACCAACCCAACAACCACCATGACCGACACGGTGTAGAAAATCTTTCATCCAGGAGACAGTTGAATCATTTGGCGGGACCCCGGGGTCCCGCAAAAATCAGGTCAATAATTATTATTTTTCTATCCGCCCTACTCGTGATCCCGACAGCAACGCACCGCCCGCCCAGACTCGCGCCAACAATCGCCACCAGCAGGCGGCGATCAACACGATGGGCGCCACCCCACCGGCCAAACGCGAGCCCCGGGGGGCGTCCGCCGCAGTCGCGCGTGGCGACAACGCCCTCTGGTCAGCCGTCGATCCTCAGCTTCTTTGCCAAGGCGAGCCCGCTCCCCCAGGCAGTGAATTTAACGTGTTTATGTAATTTTTCAACTTTTTACGAAACTTAGTGCCCCGAGTAGCTCTCGACGAGGCCAATCGATTGACCACTAGTTTTGTTGTCGGTAAGGCAAGACTCGTGTCGCTTGGTGGTTTTTCCTACCCCCGGGGCAGTGATGGGACCCCAGGGTCCCGCCAATTGCTTCAGTCGACAAAGGCCTGTGAATGCTTATTATTAATAATCGTTAGTGTTTGGAGTGTGTATACACACTGTATATAATGGTTAAGGTAAATTGATTATCATAGCCAAAATCGCTCATGTTACCGTACCTCTAAAAATAATGTTTCCCTTTATCTAGATCCCATAATTGCCGTACGTGGTATAGTAATGTAAAAATATACAGCCCTATGTCAATCCACTGGTAGATCACCCCACGCCATCTCAGCCATGGGGGTTTTGTTGGACCATACTTTGCCATGCCGGCGAGTGCAGGCCGATGAAGGGGATTGCCCATGACCTGGCCTCCCTTTCATTACACCCAATAATTTTATACGTTTAAACAATTTTAAAAAAGCATGTTGAAACTCTTAATTAACGATACAAAAAGTAACAGCTGTGACAAGAACGTAAGAATGGCGGGAGAGGTATTTTCTCGAGCAGTAGCTGGATAAAGGATGATTTCAACAACTTTTTTACGATATACGCAAGTCACCGAGCAGTGATGACCAAAGGTGACTTCTGATCTCTGCACATACCAGCGTTTTTGTCGGGGAGTCTGTCGATGCGCCACACAATGGCGTTGTACGCGTGCTCGTACTTTGCCGTGCCAATCGTCACACGCATGACGGGCTCCGAGCCGGAGACGCTGGTCGTGCCGAACTTGGCGCTCTTGTTCACCTTGGCCAGGAGCGACTTCTGCTTGATGAAGTTTTCCGTGCGGAAGATCTTGACCCAGTCCGGTGGAACGGGGTAACGCACCATCACGTTCTCGCAGGGCACCTGCCGCAGGACGTTCCTGTTCGGCGAGAAGCCCGGCGACATCAACAGCCAGGACTGCAGCTCGATGAAGGCCCCGCGGACCGTTGCCACGGTTTTCAGGGAAAACGGAGTCTCCTTCTCGCAGTACGCCGTCCGGAAGCGCATTACTTCAATCTTGCAGGCGTCCGGAGGTGTGAATTTTATTGCTTTTGACTCGGCAAAGGCAGCAGCATCCACGCAGGAGTGAAATTGACAGTCGTACATTCTGATCCAATTGTTGCATGAAGACGCAATAATGTCCTGCCTGTTGACGCTCTCCTTGCCCCTGACGTCAATGTCGTTGAGGCCGATGACGCACTCAGGCTTCCCAGAGACGAGTGCCATGGCATATACGTGTGTCGTGACGGAATGCTTGACCAAGTTGCTGTCGTCTTTCCTTAAGATGCCCCTAAATTCATCCGCAACCTCGATTTCCATGGTGTCCTCCGTGTACACCGAGCACCTGTCCAGCGGCACTGTGAGGTGCATCAGCTGATCGCGAATCGTCTGAAGGAAGCTGGTGAAGTCGTTGTAGTCGGGGGTGCCCAGCTTGAGCAATTCTGTCCTCGTTTCGCCATGGGCCTGCAAGATTTTGGTCGGGTACCTGCGCTTCTCCTTGAAGGAGACACACTCAATCCTGATGGTGTGGATTTTGCCGAGCTCATTAAAATTTTCCAGCCGGGGTTCCGAGAGCTCGTGGTCGGGCTGCAGCTGGAATTCCTTGAAGGGCTTCTCGAGGCCCTTCTCGTAGTAGAACATAAGGAGGCCGTCAGAGACGGTGGTGTAGATATTCCCCCACTGCCGGGAGGACATCTTCGTTTTCTTCTCTGGAATCCTCATCATCAGTGGCCAGCCGTCTTTTGATTCGACCTCGGGGAAGTCTGGGCAGTAAGCATACGGCGTGTCAACAGATTCGTCGGACAAATAAGGATCTTCCTGTGCGTACGAGTCCACAATCTGAATTTGTTTAAGTTTGTCAATGACCTCGGCGTGTGGGTCAGGCTTTGTTGAGTCAACTGACGCATTTAAGTCTTCCGAGTGATAGGATCCGTTCAACAGAAGTTGCGGCGACTCTTGACCGGACTGCTGCTGCTGTTGCTGCTGCTGCTGTTGTTGCTGCTGTTGCTGCTGTTGCCCAGTTCCCTTCTCCTCCGGGTTCTCAAAACTGTCAAAGAACGACTGAAAAGGGTTTATGGTGGAGGGCTGGACATCGTCGTATAGATTGATGAGGAATGGATTCGATGGGTGGAGCGGAGTGTGCGGCGGCGATGGTTGCTGAGCCACGGGAGTTGGAAACGTCCCATTGCTCGTGGACGGCGCGGGGAGGGACGCGCTTTGCTGCGACTCAAACGTGAGCAGATCAAGGGCGCCGCTCCCCTTCTGCTCCGCGAATGGATGCCCATCGGGGTTGGCCTCGCCCCAAGCTTTAAATCCGGGGTCATCATCAAAGGTCACCCAGTTTGAAAAATTTGCCGAGGTCGTCATGGTTAAAAAAAAAAATTGTTACCAGAATGAAAGAGCCCGTTGCCGAGACAATCCTTTTTTTACATGCCACTGTGTTCGGAAGCAGTATTTTCTGTGCCTGTAAAACATAAAACAAAATAAACAAAAAATGTTTATAGTTGAAGTCAACACTTCCCCCAGCTGCTTGCAACGTGAATACTCGTACGGTAAAAAAAACGCTAAACAATTCGCCACACAAAAAAAAACATTTCACTGTACAGTACTTGGAATGTGATGTCAAAAATCTCTGCTAATACACCAAACGATGATTAGATTTTAAGCAAAGTTGGACAGACTGTATTAAATGACATATAATTTGTCCACTCTGTAACCGCGCAGTGCACTTGATAGCGTAAAGCACGGTGTTATACAAATTGTGTACAAATGTGCCCACTGTATGTTCACCCTGGGCCGTCCAAGCGCCACACAGAAGGTGGTTTTGTATTCCAACGCCCTTCCCACCCATTACCAACCTCATAATAAATAAATAAGCCCCTGACAGACAGCATGCAAGCCTGGTCCCATCGTTTCATATGAACCTTATGGCAGGACTCCGGGTACCCGCCATAAGGTTCATATGCTCATCACATTCCCAGGAAGGACGAGGAGGGGGATAATTATATCATTAAGCGTGTGTCAATTGAGAGAGGGTGGGGGGGTATCTAGATTTAACACGTGATAACCCGCAAAGCTTTTGTTGAGAAAAGGATTTTTTTTTTATGAAATGGGAGATGAGATACTGTGATGAAAGCGATCACAAAGTGGGTAGTCAAGTGTTCCAACGGAATTCGCATGGGTTTTCTACATACTGTACTGCTTATACGTGACATTATTGGAGTGATTGTGCTTTGGCAGCGGTGCACATTCTCTTCTGCATAGCACATTATTTACGTGCTATGAAGAAGGATCATTGAAAGAAACGGTGTCTATTATAATATACTTTTCTTTATTTTAAGGCCACACAATGTTGTTGAATATTTTTGTATATGTGTTGAATGTGTTCGTATATATGTGGGTTATCAAGTTGTTGGTTTTTTTACCAAGATACTGCTCAATTCACCACCAACCCCTGCACCACTGATTCGACAAATTGTCACGATTCTGATTGCGATTCGATTAAAGAATCATTCGCTTTGTTGTCTCGGCTTTAGCCATCTCATTTGTACTGCACTTTCTTTCCCCGTCTCGTTTTCTACAGTTTTGTTCACTCCATCAGCCTAAATTCTACTTTCAATGTAGCAACGTTTCAATAATTTTTATGGTAATTAATTATTACAGGCACAATTCATGCATGCATGCATCGCGAGTTTCAGTAACTACATTAACCAATGAATCGATACATGACTTAAAGGCCTAATACAGAAATAACAGTCATCATCATTGTATGATGACTGTTGTCCTCCACATATTCATGGGTCTCTCGATAAAGTCACGTGGATAGGTTCAAAAAAAATTACAAAAACACTTACGACGTTTCGATCGCAACACAAGCGATCGTCATCCTCCACAGTTTAAAACCTTTTCCCGCATTGGGTGTGTGTGTCATCTGGCTCCTGGCAACAGCCCGCATGTGGTTTGTGACTCTGTACATTCGCTTTGCCACGATGCTTTTGCAATGGGTCAGGAGGGAGAATTGGACCCTTGCACGCACGCATATAAAGTTCTTGACCGCGAGGCCATATGGGTCCAACCAGGAGTGTTGACGTAGTGTGAACAAAACACGTTACATCACCACTCACTCGGCCCGTGTTAAGACGTCAGCATGACCCACGGGACGCTATCGGTCGTTTACCAAAAATTACATGGCTATGCCCACCTTAATGATCTGTTTGCCTGTTCAATGTCAATGCGCAATCGCCAAATCAAAATAATGTCACGAAAACTAATTTATCTATAGAGGGGTAACACCGTGCAGAGAATTCTGAGACATTCATGGTACTGAAAACATTGCGCAGTAATGCATTATATGACGATGCTGTAACGGGATAAGAAAAGTTAATGATTTCCTCCTCAAGTGAGCAGAGGTGATGCCCATCTCCTATTTACAACCCAGAGCCAGTGGTGGAAATTCTACAAACCTTTGGCAGGGGCGAGTCTCTCCATAGACCAACCACTGTTGACTTCCGTACAAACATTGTGCTCATTTTATCGACCCCCGGAGGGTAGATGGGTTGACTCCCGCTGAGCCACCTGGCACATAATATAAACGGTATCTTAGTCCAAAAGCCTTTGGGCTTTCAAGACCAATATTATCCCGCAGCATTTGTTTAAACACGTATGGTCTCATTCGCAGCGTCGGGCTTGTTAAACAAATACTGCTGTGTTGGCAGACGATATTGGCAAGCGCACTCTGTCCACGTGATGGGGCCCATCTTACTGTATACTGCATTCACAAATATACTTATTTATATTTTATTTTACCAGGTAATACCCGCCGAGCTACATAGCTCTTATTTAGAAGCCACGTGACCATAAATGATCGCTCAACAAAGCGATTTATCGTGTGGACATTGACAGCATGTTTGACGCGTGTTTCTAAATGTGGACGGAAAAACTGGAGGATCCCGGAGAAAAATTCACACGACCACGGAGAGAAACATGCAAACTCCAAATATACAGCAGCCATCTGGGTTGGGTTCGAAGCCACGACCTCCTGTTCCACTCATTGTCACCATCAGCTATAATTAATAAACTGCTGGATGAAGACCTCCCCAAGTCGTCATAGTTCTGTGATACAACCATCAGTCTAGCACATGAGCGGATTTCATTGCTCCATCTCCTCCGTCTCTCAGACGTATCCCATCCATTGGCTGCCACTCCCGGCACGATTTTTGCCCATTGGCCACCATCCCTACTATAGTGGCATGTCTAGCCCATGGGTGAAAAGAATATTCATTTATTTTATAACCCATAATTCTCAACGACAATGCAAGATTCGTTTTGTATCCAGAGCTGACAGACTCCGGTCACATGCTACATTTGTAATATATTTGGAAAACTTTGGCATATGTACAGCGACTGAACTGTACAATTAAAACATTCCGCAAGACATTTTCCTTTGCACCGTGGGTGCTTTTAAATTAAAGTTTGCCGAAACAAATTCACTCGTCGTCTTGCAAACAAGCAAGGGTATACAGTAGCGACTGAAACTGCACTCGGTAGCCAAATAAAACACAACGCTGCAATGTTCCACTCTATACATAGCGATGCGTGAAAGCAGCCGAGCTCCAGGCACAGCAATTCACACATTGGGGTCTTGCTCGGTCTTGAAATTGCACTGAGTGGTGGGCAACCCTGGGGGCTAAGTCTGCGCAAGCAATTCAAAAGGCAGCATTACCCCAAACACAATGGAAGCACACCCTAGAGCCGTCACTCAGCACGATGTATGGCCCTGCAGAACAGAAGCCGCCCTATGTGTTCGTTCTCAGAGTGGGTTTTGGTCCAGGTTAAGTGGGCTAGAGTGACAACTCCTGCCCCTTGCACCACCTTTCCAGGGTCTCATGGGACGCAGTGGGTCCTGGCTGAGCATGAGTAACCAGCCACTGACACTCCAGAGAGTCTGTCTGACAGCCTGCCTCCGAGTAGTGTGTGCATCTGTAAGCTTGTGTGTAGGTTTTTGTGTGTGTGAGAGTTCGGGTATGTCTGTGTGCTTGTAAGCTTTGCGTGTGTATGGGTGTTTATACATTTGTATGGGTGTTCGAACATTAAACCCAGCCTTAAATGAGTACCTGGTGCTGTGCGTAAAAACATCGCTATTGGGGAAACAAAGGCGGTGCTGGCCACCCACCCCCACGTGTGCCGTTCTGGCCTTCATTGGTGCTCGCTAACAGCACTTGCCCCAACAGTCTGCTCAGGCTATACAGGAGATCTTTGTCTTTGTACATTTGCCTCTGTATGTTTGTAAGTTTATGTAAGCTTTGTGTGCGTGTGCTTGTCTGTGAACGTTTGTTTTTGTCTCGTGATTGTTTTTCCAATTGAGACACAGCCATCTGTCTCTTGTTACTTTTGTTAACAACCTTTCTGCGAAGCGCGCCTATCCTGCCTAACCTGCTAAGTCTAGCATAGCTGACCGTCATCAGACAGTCTGAGACAATATGTAAAATATTTACTTTTAAGGTTAATTTACCCTGTCAACTATACACTGCTACAATAATACTCTTTGGGTCTTTCGTTACCGAGAAGACCCAAAGAATATGAATTCCTGCAGCCACGAAAGCTTCAAGTCAAGATTTGCTACAATAATATTACGTGCGTTTTTCACAGCGTTTAGACATTGGTACCACCAGCCAGGTCGGAAGTCTAGTTATCAACTAACCGGTGGAAACTAAAAGTTGTCACCTCTGGGATATAAAAAAAAAACATAGGACATATCTCGGAATAAAGAATATCTCAGAACAACAGAAGAGGGGGAGAACCACATACGAAATGCATTGGCTGGGTGTATTCGTGCTGTATTATTATGCAACTGTCAAAAACTAGGACTTTTATTGTCCCGGGAAGACTTGCAGATTTCCCAGAACGGTCATCCGCAACCTAAGAAAGAGGACGATGCTTGAAAGTCCAGGCCTGGCGGCAACCTCTCAGCAATCCCAACGTGATCCCATTCAAACCACCTGTGTGTGTGCTCGCGCGCACGTTTGTGTGTGTGCTCGTGTGCACGTGTGTGTGTGTGTGCGCGCGCACGTGTGTTCCAAAGCCAACATTTCAGAATCAGAATCTTTGTTTATCCTCATCGGCACACTGCGCTTCGAACCTGGCAACCCGAGTTCAATTCTTGCTCACAGCCAACATCCGTGATGAATATCCAGACTGGTCTTAAGCCTCCCGTAGGTCGACTTAGCCTTAAATGGAGACAAAATCGACGGGGCGTGGCGCTGGCCACCCACCTCCTCATGTGCCGTGGAGACCTTAAAAAGTGCTTGCTAACATGCACTTGCCCCAACAGTTTGCTAAAGGCTATATGGGGGATATTTGCCTATCTCACAACCGGCATACGCAATGTAGGTGTGCCTGTGCTATTGCACAAGTTACACAAGTTAGTCAACGTGGCAGAGGTAGCTAACTCACTGCCGTATTCAT